AAAGAAAATGCTTCACAGGTGTTTCAGTTCAAGCAATTCAATTATAGACTTCTTAAGGCTTTGATCACCACGTATTAAATGGAATTAACACTATCTGACTCAAAAGTTCATTGTGAAATTGTTACTTGTGAAAGTTACTCATTTATGGAGTAACTATACCAGCACAATGATCAGTACCATAGGAGAAAAAAAAAAAGAAAGCACACACACACAGAATTACTAGTTCTGCCATCAGAGCTGTGTCTGAGCATACTGAACAGCTTTGCAATAAATGAAGCTCATTTATTATGTGCAGTGAATGAAAAAAACCTGAAAATAGGATCATATACTTAATTACTAATAAAGCTTCCAAGGATCTGACCATGTAGCTTAATAAGATAATTGTCACTTAGACACTGTAATATATTCAAAGATACACAGCCTAACTAGTTATTTTCAATCAACAATGCAAGAAAAGAAAACATGAATCAATGACATATAACAACATACACACCTAGCAGATATTTTTTCTCCTTGCTAATCACTAAAGCCATTTCAATTCTTAATATTTAAGGATCTTGCAACGTAGTCTTGATCTTGCAAACAGAAACCACATGAGATGGTTGTTTAGTCCCTATGTACTTTTTTTTACTCCACTGGAAAAATTGTCATTAATTACTTCATTAGCCACAAAATATTTATGAATTTTAATCCTAGGGATTTTTTTTTTTTTTTTTGGGGGGGGGGGTGCTGTTGGGTTGGGGGGGGTGTCTTATTTTGTTGGGTTTAAGCAGATCAATGTTTTCTTTAAGCACAAAAAAGGAGACTAAAATAAAATTAAAACTGCATTATTTCCTAAGCAAAATGGTAAAAGGACAAGTAACCCAAAGATTCAGAATGTCTTTAAAAGGTTACTCAGCAATTTGAATTCCAGCCATATACTGATTTAAAAAAAATATTTTTCCCTTCTCTTATTTATTGCGGAACAGCTGCACAAAGAGAGAAACAGGGATATGCCCATCAACAGAGCTCCTAAACACAGAGCACATTAATCTTCCAGCTACATTTTTCATAGGTTCCTTCCACTATAGCCACATTGCATTTTATTTGTAACAGTATAAAAGTAAGGTCAATGTTAAAATCTAAACTGCAAGAACGAAGGGGGGAAAAAAAAAAGTAATGGATATAAGCAGAGGCACTCAACTATTGACAAGACTCATTATTAAAATATTAACTAGCAGAATATGATTCTATATTAACCACAGCATGTATCTCCCAGGAACACGCTATGAACTCCAGGATGACTTACATTTCTGCCATATACATAGACATCATTCCAGTAAAAAATAAGATACTTTCACAGGAGGAAAATAAGATATTTCTATAATTTCACAGATAATAAATAAAAATCTTGAATATGATTATTTAGCTAGCTGTGAATTGCTTCCACCAACCAAGATGGCACATTTTACCAGGTTTTAGTAATGAGCAGAATTTGCTCTGTAAAGCTATTACTGGAAGGAAAGATGGATGCATGTCTCCTTTTAAGCAACATCAATGTTTGCTCCCAAGTAATAAATGGCAAGTAAATGAAAGCAACAGGAATTCAAGCTGAGTGATCTAAAAAAATTTAAAAAAAAAGATGAGTTTAGTGACTGGTCTATGTGTGAGAACAAAACAGTCGTTACATCATCTCTTTTGAATCAGCCACGCTCTGAATAGAGCATGTATCAGTGAAAGTAAAAGAACAAGGAAAAAAAAAAGCTTTGCAAGAAAGTGAAAGTACAGAGGCATAAAGGAAATTTAACAAAGTTATAATTGTACAGGGAATTAAATAACGAGGTACGATAATACATGCACTAATCTGACTTTCTAAAGAGCGCATGACCAGAGGCATAGAGAGCTGCTGGGATAGCTAATTCAGTTTCCTGCTATGCATTACATGTGTATGTAGTGCATGTAATGCATACACGTTATACATATATACATTACTACACTTCTTAGAAAAAGCTTGTCAAGTTCCGGCTCAAAATTACATAGTAACGGAGTTAGAAGAATTCCTATTGTTCATGAGCTTTTTTCTGCCACCAATTTCCAGCAAGATCCTTACCATGATATATTCATTTGCTTTTGCGATACTATCTACCAACTTAAACTGATCTGTCTTAGTCGCATCTCTCTCAGCTATTCAAGTCTTACTTCCTATGGCTTAGCACTGGCCCTATCCAGCAGTTTCCAGTTTGCTAACCTCTAAAATTTCCAGTGAAACTGTGATCTCTTGTGTAGCTTATCCAAACCTATTGGCATGCTGCTAGTTTACTTTTCGCAACTATTTAGGAGTAGTCTAAAGAATTCCCAGCAGCTCATGGACTGAAAACCACCATACATTTTCATCATACAGGGAGTACACCTTTGATCCAGCACTTCAAATGCTACGTGCCTATTTTATTTGACTGCTTTACCACTTAAAGCGAGCACAATTAGTGCGCTGGGCTCATACGTTCGATATCATATTATAAAGCATTTAGGTTGACTGCAGCACAAAAGTCTACTTGAATAGCAATGACTGTAGCATTCCAAAGACAGTATTTGAAAGAAATGTGCACATTCTGTAATTGATAATAAGATTGTATTAGAAAGCTCTAGCACCTAGAGGTTAAATACTAACATACACTACACATCAATATATTAATTCTTACCTCTATTTGTTCCAAGGTATCTTGCAGTTTTGAATTCAATTCACTATTAACGAAAAAAAAAAAGTTTAAAATAAAACTACTGATCATATTAACATTTCACACCAAGTTTCTTGTTTCCAAAAAACACATTTGTCTGCTATCGAGCCACAATCTAGTAATTTATCATAAATCATTAACCTGCTGTTACTGTGTCAGACTGGTATTACCACACTACTGTTATTAGTGAAAGGCATTTACTGCAGGCTGTGCAGTATTCCTAACACTTCAAATAAAAATACCTGTTGCAGTAGCATATTATCCTTGGTTTATAGTGCAACAGCGTTAAGAGGGCCCAGATAAGATCCCATCCTGCTAGGATTTAGCCAAGCATTCAAAGACATTCCCAAACACCAAGAGACTCCTGCTCTAAATGTTTTGATTTGGCACTGTGGTCTACAGCAGAACATACACAGAAAGGTCAGGGCTGTCAAGTCTTTGCAGACTATGGGATAGTAACTTTTATTTGCTGCTCAGGAATCCCTTACAGAAACACTGTAGGCAAAAAAGAACTTAAGCTTACACAACTCTCAGAAAATCTTTTTAAGACCATCATTTTACTTCTCCAAGCTACATTTGGTATACAGAGATTAACAAAAATAGCTACCATAAGAGAAACTATTTAGGACAAACAAATGCACAACTGCTCCTTTCCAACAATCAGCTTTAAAATTTCAGAACACCAGCCAGAAAACTAAGACACAAAATATGACTACTATGTTTTTGTTTGGGAGGGTCAAAGCAACCAAGAAATAGGCAGGATATTCTCATCAAGCATGGAAAGCACAGAATTTCCATGGGATAATCACTATACTAGATTTCAGACAACTTAGTTCTGTGCTCTGAATCTTCTCCTAAGTGGCCTAAGCTAACTATCAAAAGATAGATTCTAGCTTCCCTACCTAGTTCTGTCCACTTAAATGATATGCCCATCACCCCTCCTTTTTTGGTTCTGCTAGATAACCTGGATACAACACCTTCCAAAGAAATGTTTAAACAGAAAAAACTGCATCAGAAAGAGCTGGTATTAAACACTAAATCGAGTAGCCAATATTTCTTTGTGGTTTCTCCATATGCAATAAGACTTCAAACAGAAAACTCTCCATAACAATTTTATGTTGTTAGATCTCCTGCTGTAGTTTATGAGCATTTCCTGTTACTCTAGTTCTAGCAAGATGTTAGAACAAGAGTAAGAACCTTGCTCTGTGCACAGAATTGCTCCTTCTTTCCATCTTTAGAATGGGTACAGCATAGACCATCACCCCCTGTGTATAAACATGTAGTTGGTTTACATGTTGAACTTAACTGGTCTAATATAGAAGCTGCTGACAGTATTAAAAATGATGCAATGCACAGGTAGTCTCTGCACAGACTGAATAAATTAAGTAATTGTATCGCTTAAGTCCTATGAAAATTCATGAAGCCCCTAATGGTAGCAGGAACCATATAAACACAAGACTATGATTCCATTTAAACATATGTCATGAACATGCTGCTGCTAATCTAGCATTTCTTTACATTTTCTAATTCAATTAAAAATACATATGGATTTTTCACCTCAACCAGGCAACTTACATGCTCAGACACATGAAGAATTTGCTCAAATACTACAATGTAGGGCTGAAAAACTTCCCGGACTCCAGAAATCATTTCTTTATTATTGCAGTTGATCACATTCAACTAATTTCACCTGTATACCAGCATAGATCCTCATGAAAACTAGTTTTTTGTTTCCACTATTCTTAATACCAGGCAAGCCTCAGCTTGCAATCACCTGGTGACACAGGAAGCTTCGACAGCTCAGGGACCTGAGCCCTTATGTCACAATTCCCAGCAAATGCCCCAAGATCAAGGCCATTCCGGAATGGTTCTTTTCTTTTGGGAGAGGAGGCTGGGGAGGAATTCAAAAGATCTTGTTCCACATGAAACACAACCAAGGTAAAACTGCCATGCGTTTCTTGCCCCTACCATTTAGTGCAACTCCTGTGACAGTGCTGTCTTCCCAGCCAAGTGAGGACCTGAGGACCCAAGCACTAATTTTAGATACACACATCCATAGGTTATTTATTCAACCAAAATATGATATATGGAGGTGTTTGCAAGAATCCAGCCTATATTTATCCTTACAAATTTAGGAAAAGAAGGTGTGATCACAAAATTTCATAAGAAAAGTAACTTCGATAAAGTATTGAAGTCAAAATGTAGAAATGCAGCGTCCAGCGAAATCTGTATGTATTTTCTAAACCAGAATTTTAAAGGTAGTGCTTGGACATAATGGCTACATGATAATTATGAAAGTCCATTTCCATAATTGAGAATTTAATCCAAGGTATTCTATTAATTCATTAAAAAAAATTATTAGAAGTCTTTTAGCAATCACATTACTGTAATATAACAGAAGTAATGTTTCAAACCCAGTGCAACAGAGTCATCCTATTATCTGACACTACATTTTCCTACAGGTTTTTCAAGGGAGTCTACTCATATCAGAACTGATGAACAAGTAGAAGGTGAAAGACTTTGATTTATGTTTTTAAACAAAAATGAATCACATAATACAAACATTCCCTAGGAAGAAGACAATGGAGAACAAAAATTATAGACATTCAGCCTATTACTTCAAAGGAGGATGAGCAGTCAATCTTAAAACCAAAGAAGTCTTAGCAGGGAAGCTGAAGTGCTTGCCTCTTCAGATTATGTATACACCAAAATACAAAAATTATATGCTTCATAGAAGGGTTTAAATCCCCTGCTGTTTAAGACCTACACCCAATTCCTATCCCTGTCCAGCAAGAAAAATGTGAAGATTGTACAAAGAAAGGCACTGATTCTTGTCATGTGGACAGCAGATAATCAAAGGCATACTGTGAAAATTTCATGGTAAGATACAGAGGTGATGTCTCATATAAGCACATTATAAATGCTAGCACATCTCTGTTTTCTTGACTAGCTGGTTTTTACTGCAGTCCTAACAGAAATGCAAACAATTTATTTATTCGTTTAGCCCAATCTCCTCCTAGTGAGACATTATTCCACACAATATATATTCTCTCAGACTTCTGCAAGTAAAACAGTGCACAGAGACTGAAATGCATGCACTGGGGCTGGGATTTGCAGCTAAAATGTCCTTCTGCTCTCACAATGTAAACAAAAACAAGCTCAAAAAACTCTCTCAGAATAAAGAAGCAGTGCTGATTTTTTCTGTCATGATCCTTTATTTCAAGAAACTGTCTTATTGGTTGCAAGGACATCCTTTTGAGTGCAACAACAAAGTAAATCCTCACAGCTATTTGTCACATATCTTGTCAGTATGCTATCAGATTTAAAATAGTATGACTTTTGCAGTTAAATATTTCAAATGGCAAAAATATGAACTGTTAGTTTCAAGTTCCAAATTCTGCTATACTGGACGTAGTGTAGTGGAGACAAACTTTGAAGTTGCAATAAAAGCTTGAAGTGATTCAACATTAAACAGAAACTTTCATATCATTTACAGAAAACAGAATTTAAGTCAAAGAAACTGGGTAATTTAACCTAAATCTCAAAAGAGCAATGTTTTCCAGATGAGCACTGTAAGATTCTAAGAAATCAAGCTGCCTTTTCAAGCTGAATAAATGTTGCTAGTTTCTCCCAAAGAAAAAAAACCACAGGAGATATGCAGAATAAATCAGATTAACATTTGGAGCCACAAAGCATTTGAGAGAGCAATAAATACTAAGGGAGCTTACTGAACAGTATAGACAAGACAGGTATGGAAGACTGCAAGACCTCTCGCTACAGAAGGTAGAGTCAAGCAGAGCAAAAGTTGCTCAGGAGTCATCTTGATTCTCAATAACTAAATTGTCAAGGACTGAGGGAAATCACAGTGATTTTTCCTCATTCAAATAAATAAATAAAAGTTTAAATTCACTACTATATAAGGAAAGGATTCAAAATTTCAGTATATGTAGGCAAATGTTGCCTGCACAGTCAATTTATGTCCACACACAAGTTTTATGGAACTAAAAAGCAGCTTTGAAATCTGACTTCAGAATAGAGAGAGGCTTATTTCAAGGTACAATTTCTAACTTCATACACCTTTTTGGTGCATCTTCAGATTCTGAAACAACTATACCTCAAAAGCAGATACTAAACTGAAATTGAAGATTATGGGTAATTACTCCGAAGTAGCAAGAAGGCATGCATTTAGAGGAGACAGGGAGGCAAAGCATGTGTTTTCATAGATTTTGGCCCTCTAAGTCAGAGAGCATTCTGACAGGAGATCAAACAGTGTCAGAATTTTACACATAAATTTAAAATTCTAATTAAAAATAACACAAAAAGAAAATCTAATTAATCTAATGATCTTCTTAGTGGATGAAACATCAAAATTCACTTCATTTTACCCTTTTATTGTCATATCTATTATGACTTTGAACTTCATGTTTACCCAATTATTTTATTTCTTTTTACTTTCTAAAAAGCAATAGAAACATCAAGTCTAAGCTAAGAACTGTAGATAACTGAATTAGTTCCGGTTCTGAAAGCAATTTCTCCATGACAGCATGAAGCTCTGCACTGGCTAATTTCATTGCCAAGAATCGGGGTAAGTTATCCTCCACAAGCCATCTTGCTGTAGGTAAATTAATTCCAGAATATAAACTTGCTAATTAAAAAATAAGCTCGGGTATCTCTAGGATGCAGGTTGTAGCACAGTTACATTTCAGACTTAGTTGAAACTTTACCTGCCAACATACTACAAGTTATAAAACAATCATAGAATCATTATGGTTGGAAGAGACCTCAAAGATCAACAAGTCCAACTGTATACCCAACATCACCATGCCCACTAAACTCACTAAACTATGTCTCGAAGCACCACATCTAAACGTTTTTTGAACACCTCCAGGGATGGTGACTCCACCACCTCCCTGGGGAGCCTGTTCCAATGCTTAACAACTCTTACAGTGAAGAAGTTCTTTCTAATATCCAACCTGAATCTCCCCTGGCACAACTTGAGACTGTTTCCTCTTGTCCTATCGCTAGTTACCGGGGAGAAGAGACCAACCCCTACCTTGCTACAACCTCCTTTCAGGTAGGTCTAGAGTGCGATCAGGTCTCCCCTCAGCCTCCTTTTCTCCAGACCAAACAACCTCAGCTCCCTCAGCCGCTCCTCATAAGACTTGTTCTCCAGGCCCTTTCACCAGCTTTGTCGCTCTTCTCTGGACATGCTCCAGCAGCTTAATGTCCTTCTTGTAGTGAGGGGCCCAAAACAACAAAGGATTCAAGGTACGGCCTCACCAGCACAGAGTACAAAGGGATGATCACTTCCCTGATCCTGCTGGTCATGCTATTTCTGATAAAGACCAGGATGCTGTCGGTCTTCTTGGCCACCTGGGCACACTGCTGGCTCATGTTCAGCTGGCTGTCGACCAACATCCCCAGGTCTTTTTCCACCGGGCAGCTTTCCAGCCACTCGTCCCCAAGCCTGTAGCACTGCATAGGGTTGTTGTGACCCAAGTGCAGGACCCGGCACTTGGTCTTGTTGAACCTCATGCTGTTGGCCTCAGCCCACCGATCCAGCCTGTTCAGGTTCCTCTGTAGAGCCTCCCTACCCTCAAGCAGATCAACATTCCCACCCAACTTGGTGTCATCTGCAAATGACACAGTCCAAAGAGATTATATAGTGTTATGATTGTGAAGACTGGTTAGTAGTGGTACAAGTGATATGCAATAGTAAACAGAATTTTCCACTAAGTGAGAATAGTGAGCCATGCAAGGTCTGATGACTGGAGGAGTGCGCCGCTGAGGAATGCAGAATATGATAAAGAACCAAAACAATAAGATAAGGAGAAGAGACTGATCTCCAAGCCAGTCTCTGACGGTTGGGGCCCAGAAACTTATGAAATTGTGTCCTTTAGATGAACCTAGCTCATTATAATCTCATTATAATGCTAAAAAACACACACCTAGGAGGACATTTTAGATGGAAATTTTGGACCACCTTAGTATAATGAAATAATTAGGTAATGAGACACGTGCAGGTGATTTTTTTGTAGAATGCAATCACAGGTAACCAATCATTTGCTTTTGAGTAGTTTCTTCTTTGTTTCTATCTTGTATGAAAGCTGCCGCACGATTTTCAAGGATGTGCTAGCTTTGTGGGACTAACATCTAGCACCCATCTCTGTATAGACATGGAATAAAATACCTCCGCTCTGTGTGTATATTGGCATATTGCACATTGGGTGAAGAAACCCTGCTTTTGGGACAACACAGGGAGCGAGGGGAAACTACTGAGGATGATTATGCTTTTATAAATGCCTCAATTTTGCTTTTCTAAGTAGAAAATTAAATTTCAATCAAAGCTGCTTTAGACAATGAGAATTAACGATCACTGTTTTATACCATTTACAAATAAAACCATACAGAAGCTGAAATCTGCACAATGTCACCTTACCTTATACAACTGTAGTGTTTGAAAGTGCTGGCAGCTTTCTGGCATTCCAAGCACAGCTGAATAGCTCCTGGATAGTCCTCTTCCTTAGGATAAAATACAATGGAAAGCTAATTTGGCTTTTGATACAAACACTGCAACACCCATTTTTTGCTTGCATGCCTATGTATAAACACGAAGAACAAAATATTTTGCTTCTTACGTCTATACAGTAAAGTTAAAGGAAATGAGTGAGGGTCTATTGCAGAACTTAATGTGCAAGCAGTTTAGAATCAGTAACAGACAATGTTAGCAACATCTGAAAACACTGTGTATTACATTACCTTATGCAAATGACTTGCTGTTTTGTTTCCTTATGCATTCACACAAAACACATCAGAAAGTTTTTATTACAAAACAACTAACATCTTCCCAGTTAACTTTCAAACCTTTGTTAATACAATATGATCTATTCATGAGCAAGGAAAGAGGTAAGTTCAGGCACTGGCAGGCTGTTGCCATAGTTTACAAAACCTAAAAAGAGACAAGGGAGACACTCCAACATTATGCCCAAATAAACACTATTTAATTTGACAGATTCTATAGCTAATTAGAAATTAAAGACAACCAGCTCACACAGGGCCCCAGGACAAAAAGAACATAGTTCAGGAAAAAAAAAAAAAAAAAAGGAAATACTGTCCTAATTTATAAGAAGAATAATACCCAATAAGTAGCAGATCAATCACAAAGTACATGAAGATGCCAGGACAAAACCAAAACATACACACAAAAATGTAAAACCTCAGGATCTTGCCAACAGAACATGGGCGGTGCCTCAGGTATAACTACTATTTTTGTATTCTATTAGATATGAGGCCAGAAAGGCTACTGCAGGAAGGAAAACCCTCTTTAATAGCTAAGAGCTTCCCTTTTGTCCTAATTACATCCGTCATATTACGTGCTTCAGAAAGCTCAAATGCAAAGCTGTTACTGGAATTTCAAAGTCATTGATTGAAGAGTAAAAACGCAAAGGCAATTTATATTTGGCTATTATCATAAAGAAGTTTCTGAAATGAAACTGGTTTTAACAGCAGCATTCTAATGCAGATCAAGTTTAGCTAAAAACACAAAAAAACCCAAATGCATTATCCATTAGATGAAAACAGAACAGTACGTTGGTCTAAAATGATTGCTGCACTTACAGCTCTTTGCATCTTTCTCTGTTGGAAACCTGGTACTTGCTCCTAACAGGGCTCAAATCAGAAAGCCTGCTTGCATAACATATACTACCAATATATTCCAGATACAGCTAACTCACGTAAGTTACTATAGCTTCCTGTCCATTTTTTTTTTTTTATTGGGAACCCTATCTAAATGTTCCTCTGTGAATGGCTACTAATAGCTCTGACACATATTCCAAGCTACTAACTTCTTGGAGTAAAGACAATAAATTGGCCAACATCTGAGTTACCTTATTGGTAGCAGACACTGAGCACAGCGATAAAACTGCACTTAGGCAGACAGGGCAGTTCAAGCCCTTAATGTTTAAAAATCACTGGCAACTTATGATAATCAGACATTAGGGTCTGTCTGTGAATGCAACACCCACACCTCTGTCTCAAGATACCTCCTATCAGTAGACACTGAACAGCTGATTTCCTGCACAACAAAATACAGCACAGAAATGAAAAGCTAAAAATTGTACAGGGCTTGCTGAGTAGAAGGCAACATTTATGTAGCCTGTAAATTAATACATTCTTGCTTGGTAAAGAATAAGAAAGTGTGCTGAGACAAGGTGTATTACTCAAGATGGAATTAAACTCAAAGAAACTTAAGAGTTACAATTATTAATACTTAGTTTCCAAATTTAGTAACTAGGCATTAACACAGTGATGTTCCATTCAGTATTAGCCGTAAACATTTGGCAAACTAGCAAGTCAAAATTATTACACTACATGATTAAAATATAGTTGTCAATAAAATCCTGAAGCTGTCTTTCATACAATTAACCACCTTAAGACAAGATCTCATTTTTTGCTCTGTGCAGTATCTACTGCATTTTTAGGCAGTATATATACTGTATTAGTAGAGTTTTCAGTGTCATGGCCTGCGTGCCACAATGTTTTCTACAACTGACTATTAAAAAGCCAACCCAATGAATAAGGAGAAAAGCTACTACACTTACAAATAAAATGCTAAGTAGGCAGCCCATATATAAACCTGTACAGTAACATGCCAGTAGAAGTACTTTATCCAGACACAGCGTATCAACAATCAGCTAAATCTCACCTTCTGTTTTCTTCCAAATATCAAGCTACGACTAGAAAAGAAGTAGAAGCTGAGGGTAGGGAGGGGAGGGAAGACTCCACAGCACTCTTACTGAACTAACTCAAGCCTCAGTGCCTATATCTAAAGGCAGATTGAGTCTTTGACAGAAAACTCTCCCCCCGTGACACACAGACTACCCAATTGGATATGAAGTATTTCTCCCAACATTTAAAAAACTAATAAAAATATAATTTCACCACACACACACCCATAGCCTGTTTGCAAGAGGAAGGAAAGGAGGGACAAAATTAAGATGACTGACAAAAGTAGACTTAGAATAGCTTCAAATTATAATGGTCCAGCAGGGACTTACCTCTAACATCTCACTCAAACGCACATCAGTTCTTTGCTAAAAATAATTAAAAAAAAAAGACAAAACACAACAGTGATAACTACACAGAAATGAAGAAAAATACTTTTCCGCTGAACAAACACAACTGTACATACCAGTGTTTTTATTGTTCTCAGGGACTTTAGCAGTCCAATAAGCAACTGTCGTTTCCTTTGATTTGCAAGAAGTCCCAAACTAGTTTGCGTGAAGCCTTCCTTTGCTATATTCAGGTGTCTGCAAGTGTTAGAAATGAACATAATCTTTGACAGTATATAAAATACAACTTATTTCTAATAAATTCTTACATGTCCCTCAAAATACGTGCTAGAAAATAAGACTCTCAGCATTGTTAGGGAAACCCAGAAACTGAGATGATATCAAAAGACTACTAAGAAGGTATATTTTCCCTCCTGCAGAACTTGCCTGTGGATCAATGGTATATCTCAAAAGGTTCCTGTTTTAAAGAGTTGAAAGAGTGAGAGCTGCAAGAGAGAAAGCAGCTGATACTTGTTTAAGTATCTTTAACTACTGTTGCTAATTCCATTCAGCACATAAATAGGAAATATCATCATCAAGCAAACTTCCTGGGTTTACAGATTTCTTCTTAAATACTTTTTCCCCCTTTCAATCTCTGCCATCATTTAAGCAAGATACCTTCTTCCATTTGTGCAAATAACAGCTGCTAACTGAAGGCCAGTCTGCAATGATGTAACACGTTCAAGTTCCTACAGAGAGACAACAGGTTAAATAAATATACAGGTTAAAGACACTCTACATATCAGCATAGACTAATGATTAGTAGGTTTCTCTTGAGATGTTTTAATGACTTTGTAGAGTTACTTTATATATTATTTATATATGCTAAGCACTGGAATGTAACATTAATATAAACTATCTTTTAAAATACAATTCTCTTTTGAAGAAAGATACTTGAAATCCATTTTCATTGCAGCGGGAGCCTCTACATTCATATACTGTACATTTAGCCTAAGAACCTCTATACCATTAATGCATCATAGTAAAACGTTCAAAGCTTCAGGGACAGAAGCACAGGGTTTAATTTGCATTAATATGCCAGAGAGCAGCAAAACAATGAAAATACAACACACAAAAAAATCATCCTTTACACAGCATTTTCTTGTTTAGAAGCACTTGTGTTCCACCCATTTAATAGATGTCACTTCATAATGAATCTTAATTGTATCCTGTTGAATTTCAGCTGAAAACTCTTTAGTACAGGTGATCTGAATTTAGCTTGATTTTGATTTTGTGAAGTGCCTAGCATATCAACTCCTTAAAAAAATATATATAACTTTTAATATACTTATTAGGATTTCTTTTGTTAGGAACAGCATTGCAGAAAAGTGAACACTCTCCCCATGCTAAAGAAAAAAAAAATTTTTTTTTAAATACTGCTCATCATTTTAAAACATATCAAGTGCTTTCAATAGGGAGAAAGGAGACTTTCACTTTGAAAACCAATCTAATCCTAAAGATATGACAAGCAAAAACAAGTTTAAAGTTTAGTTCAGTTTAAGATCAGCTCCTGGTCAGTCTCCAAAGAAACGAGTAATTCCAAGAAATTACTGAGCTGCATCTTTCACAAAAAACAGCGCCTCCTTTATGTTGCCAATGTTGCTTTTGGAAAAAAGGACAGCTTAGTTGCTGATATGCATAATATCTTAAGAATCCAAATTCAAAGATTACTTTCCTCAGTACCTACTTCTCACTAAAAACATACTTTGCAAATGTCAGAGCTATTCAAAAGGCCATTGTTCCCTTTTCATGAGGAAACGCATACAATAAGGAGCAATTCCATTCCAGTCTTGGTCTTGCAAAGAATCTGTAAAATCTCCCCTTTGGATGTGACCTGATGGAGAGGCACGGGGAGAGAGTGCAGTCCAGCGGTCCCCAGCGAGGGAGTCTTCCATCCAGCATTTAGTGGTGGATACATTTTTTCTCTTCTCAAAGATAATCTCCCACCCATTGGTGGTTTCTAAAGCCTGCCTTTCCTTCTAAGGGGAAGGGAAAACTATAAACCCCCTGCCTTGTGTCTGTGCCGTGCCTCTCTCAGCCTTTAGGAGCATCTGTTAGACCAGTACTTCATACTAGGAATGGGGTGCAAACCATGACTTCCCCACACTTTCCTGTGCATAGTGGAAATGCGTCCAGGAAACAAAGAGTATTTTTGCTTCTTCTAATCATCTCTTACTGTAATTGGACACTGAACTGGATCAGCCATTACAACGTACCCATAACACATCAGGAGGTTCACTTTATGAGTCAGGGGGAAAGTAAGTCCTATGATGCCCACCAGAAATCTCTGATAAGTAAGTCTACTGACAATAACAGCTCTGTGCAAGCCTGTGCTGATAAGTAACACTGAAGGTTTATTGACTTAATCAGGCAAATATGTCTTTCAGAAATGTTTTTAAAAGACTCTTACCGGCACAATGGATTTTTAACTGTCCCTTTGGAATATTGGAAAGAATTCACTAAGATGTTGGGATAAGAATATTAACATTATCCAGCAAAATGCAAGAAGTACATTCTCCACAGTGTTATTATGCACTGAGAGGGGGTTTTCAAAGTGAAGCTGCTGGATTCAGAAAAAGCAGTACTCGCTCAACAACATCGATTCTGAACACACGTAACAGCAAAACTATACCAGAAGGATCTGATATCGTACAATTACCCTTTGTGCCCCCCTCTACACTATCTTATGAAGACTAAACCACTGTAGCGCTTAGCCAGTCTCCTTCTGCAATAGCCTCTCACTCGACTACTTTAGCTAAAACTGAAATAGTATTACCTTTACAGCTTTTTTCTTCCACCAGCTATGGCAGATGACAACACAAGCAATGCTCACCCTCCCCATTTGCCTTTGAACAGCAGAACTCCTCTTTCTATCCAGCAAAATGCCAGCGCACAGATGGGACACTCAGAAGGTCACCAAAGCTGGATGTGTGGGCCATGAGCACAAGTGAGCAGAAGGGTAAGTTGTGCCCTCTGAACCAAAGAGGAAAGTAATTCCAGCTCCACGACATCTACCATGGGTTAATACCCAGGAGATACAAGCCCTAGCCTGCAGCAACAGTGCATCAAGCTGAGAAGTAGGAGGCAAGGAAGGGAGGAAAGGAATGTAACAGGAAGAAGGTTAACAAGGAAGGAGAGGAGAGGAAATAAAGGAGAGGAGAGAAAGTAGAGGAGGAAAAAAAAAAAAAAAAAAAGAGGAGAGACCTCCACCACCAAATGTAGCCATCATTGCCCTCCCATACTCTCTCCAGCTTCTTGACCAAAATGAGAATTGCCATAATCACTGATACGACAATGCTGAAAAGATCAGATAAAATCAGGCACAGAGAAGCAAATGTATAGAGGCATTATTAAAAATAAATGGGTAGGAAAAAAACGCTTTCTCTTTAGAGAATCATAATGACAGCTGTTCCAATTATGTTTTGAGAGCAAGAAGAGAAGTTGTACCAATATTTAACTGCAAGCAGCTAAAGCAGTTTTGCTTTGTTTTGCTCTCAGAGATCTTTTGACATGTTGCGGCTCTATTTCCAGCTCAGTCTTCTCTCAGATGCTTTCTTCTCACAACTGCCTGAGATTAGTGGCAGGTTTCTTGTTAAGTGCACTTAAGAAAGGTCATTGCTATTTTCTCTTATGGTAAAAGATTTGAAACCATTCCTAAACAGAGGCACTAAAGAAGCTCCTGTTCAAGTCCATTACGGGTTTTAGTCAAGCCTGTGAATTCATGTTTTCAGAAAGCCTTCTTAAAACGGCCATATGCCAAAGCCTTTATCATCCTAAGGGCCTCCAGCTCAATACGCCCTTGGTTTTTTTCACTCTACAGATACAGGTTTAGCATACAGACAGTCAGTTCCAACCAGGCACTAGCATTTCTGCTAACAAATTACTAGATTTAATCCCCAATGAAACAACTGCAGCATTATAACAGCACAAAATGGAATGGTTTACTCTTAAAAAGTGACTGTTAGTTGTCTTACCTGAACATACACAGGTTGTTTTTCAAGTATCAAGTCTGCAACTTTCTTGGATACCTTAAAAGGAAGAATATTAGATGTGAAACATATCAATCTGATTAAGCAGGCCATCCCTATACTAAGTTCTACAACAAGTTTCTGATTCTGTATCATTTAGTTCTGTAATTTTCAAGTATATTAATAAATATACCATAACAAGGTAAAAAAAAATCCTAAAAATGACAATCAGCTTTCCTTACAAGCAAGACACGAAAAATATTCACATTCCATCTAGGAATTAGTGGGCGTTTTTAAATTAATCCCTTACCTCTCTGCTTGTTAAGGAACATGCTAGAATAGAAAATAGAAATAATATGGGACACTGCAAGTATTTACATTCTGCTTGTGCTACTGCTGGAGTACAAATTTAAGTTAACCATCTACCATAGAGATCTAAGAAAGCCATAAGGACACTTATCTTTCAGAGTGATATTTTATTAAATAAAATACGTATCAAAATGAATATTCACCCTGTGCACATTATACCCTTTCTTTAGCACACAGAACACGCATATTTTAAAATTTTCTCCATGGTTCTGAACTAACAGGAATGCTACTAGGAGCCGCTGTCTGTACTGAATTTAAAAATGGCTATTGCTGCCTTGATCAGTCTCTTATGCGCAAACACAGAAGCTTAAAAAAAAAAACGCGAACAGTCATATAAACACAAGCTAGAAAACAGTGTGTTTTGTTTTTCAGTAGGGACTACAAATATTTAAGACTAAATAGTTTCAAGAATGACAAAGAAATTATTGGTATTGCTCTATATTCTTCTTGGGGAACAATACTCCCAGAAATTGAAATAAAACAAAACTATGACAGTCAGCCAGCCCACAATGCGCAACTGGGAAAGAGAGATGAGGTTTTTATATATTTGACTGTTTAGTCAAACATAGCACAAAGTTCGAATTTTCAATCAGCATTCCTGTAACAAATTTCCAGTGGCTTCACCACGTCAATTTGGATAAAGGGCATGTATCTAGCTATGCCTTCCTCCTTCCCTATTAAAAACCAGCCAGAATCACAAATTTATTTTAAAATCTCTTAGTTGTTCTATAAAGAATAACGTTTTCTTCTGTAGGACAGCAAAAGAAGCACTCCAAAGCAGGGTGGGGGCGGGAAAGGATGTTATCAAGCCAGACACTACACAAGCCTTCATGACCCTGGGGCTCTGAAGTTTTGTTCACTGCACAGTCTATATGCTGTGAAATTTTCACCTCCCTTTTCCAACCTTTTCTTCCTGCTAGCCCTGTAAAAACTTTAGGACAGGGAAGTACCTGCTAGTCATGCACTGCCCTAGTACAAATCTAACAGTTTGATTCTTCACTGTTAAAAGGTTTCATCAATCAGTACACATGAATAAAAGAGGCATATCATTTCCGGTTTTTACACTGCTTTTTTTTGTTTTGTAAGTTCTCCATTACTCTTGACTAATAACAACCTCAATGCTGTCAAGAATCTGCCACAGCCATTTTTTTCCCCCCTGAACTCAGTGATACTACTTTTCTGAGCTTCCAAGCTATTCTCTTTCCTTTCTTTCGGATGAGTGATATTATCTCAGGTTACTTCCATTCATTTTCAAATTGTCCCACTCCTTTTGATATCTTCCATACAATTGTGGTGACTCTTAACTTTCGGAATCCAGAATTGCAATTGCCAGCAATGAATGCGACTGCAGTTATCAATGCATGGAAACAACAATGTTCTTTGAGGGGACCAAACAATTTTCTCCAAAATAATTTTCTCTTTCTTAATCACATCAGGAAAAAATATTTCATCTCCTGAAGAAAAAAAGATACAGCTGAGGATAGCAGTCTACTAATTAAAATGAAGTCAAACAGACATACAACTAAAAAGTCTAATTCAAACTGTCTGTACCAAGATGATTAGACAAATTAAAGCTGTCATGATACACATATTAAAAAAGTCTTGAGTGAGCTGGAAACCATCAAATGGAATGGAAAACTGTAATGGGAAAACTACAGAAAATACAGAGTTGATAGTGACCTTGAAAACAAAGGCATGACCAAGATCAGCTGTGCAAAAGCAGCTGGTAACAGTCAGTGAGAAGTAAATCAGAGCCCTATTACTTATAATTCACGCTCATTTGAGTGCCTTGCATTACAGAAATTTAGAAATTGGAACTATCTCTAAACCACTACTGTAAATTCCTATGCCAGCTATAGCTACAGGCACTGAAGTGAAAAAGGCAGCATTTATTCTTTTTCAAAAGTAGTGGCATTGTGTGATCTGTCAACAGACTTCTTGAGTCCTCTATCCAATAATCTATTCACAATCAGCATTAAAATATTTTTAGGACCAAACTAACAATGTACAACATTCTGCAGTGCTGTCTTCCATGGAGGACACTAACGCCCTTTAAGACAGACAGTAATCTAAATGATGCATCACAAGATAAATGGACAGCAATTGAGACAGGAGAAGAAAACATGCAACAGTCTCTCACACTGCACCTGGAAGTACGACACAAGGACATGATATACAGCATACAAAAAATTTCAGCAGCTTGGCACATGCCCAAGGAGGAAAACAAACCCAATAACAATTTCTTCCTATAGCAGAATCACATTTAGACTAGATTAAGGAAGACACAAGAAAGGCCAAATCCTGACTGGGGAGATGGTGGGGGAAGAATTGGACATGTTTCTTGTCAAAAGTTTGGGCTTTGAGAGTTTTTGTTTGTTTGTTTTGTAAAAGACAGACACATCTGAGTCATATTTACTGGAAACTTGTTCAGTTCTCACACCTATTATTCATTAGCTGCATGCACTTTCCAGTTAACATGTTTCAGCAGCAGCCGTGCACTGAAACTACTCCCCCAGCTGCAGCTGGTTCCCATCATGCAGGCAGAATGGCCAAGACATGGATAATAGGTATTAAGATTATCCAGCATATCTCAATGAAGTTGTCTCTCAGTCTTGAGGGTACTTCCTTGCAAAACTAGGTCACCACCAGATGTCCTTTTAAACTTTAAAAAACAAAAATCAACACAAAACTACCACCCACTTTCAACTTCTTTCCTTATACCTCTTGGTGAGAAACATAGATTATTCATTTGCTCAACTTCTCACTAATACTCTACAAAATTTCACAGGTTTATTCTGGGAAAAGCAGTCTTCGGCAGAAGGAACTTGTTCTCTATGTATTGTTAACAATCCAATATTCTCCTTCTGTACATTTCATTCAAAGACATGAATTAGGATTATTACTGTTATTTTACTTGCAGATACTTTCCAAAAGCCACAGTTAATACATTCATTTCCTGTAACATATTATTAATCTTTAAAAGAGCAATGAATCAATAATTAATGTATGAAGAGAAAATTAAAAAGCCTGAAATGTACCAAGTACCTTTCAGAAGCTGCAGCTCCGATTTCCCCCCATAAATTACAGTTATTACTCACTGTTACACTTCATTTGTTTTATTATGTAATAACCCTGTACCAGGATTCACTAGAAACCCTTGTGGACAATTAACAAATTGGCAAATCAAAAAGAAGAGAAAATAGCAACTCTAAGGAAAGAGTTTTTAAAATATTTTATGGTTTACGTTGCCGGAAATCCCTCAAAAAAAAGAGATACTACCACACTATTCAGTGCCACATTGAACTTTACTTTTCTTGCAATACATAGGAGAAGCTGAACGTTCAGAAAATCAAGTTTCCAAAGAAATAGTTAGCACATTTGGTCCACGTTACAATACTTATCACCAAGGTTTACTTCCATGATTTTATATGATTATATGATTTACTGATAGGAATTTCCACTATAAAAGCACACAACATAATATTAAAAGAAAAAATACTTAATATCTACTGTGTTTAAGAGATCCAAACTTTTTCAGTTACACTTCCGGTTAGGTTTATAGACAATACAACAAATTGCCTGAGGGTACAGAGGAAACTTCTTTACTTACAGCAGCTTGCTGTTGTTTTAACTTGTCTCTGTACTCTTCTAGTTCTTGAAGACTAAGTACTGGAGGAAGCCTCTGCATGTAAAGAACAAACTAAATTCAGTGAGAAATTAAAGGATGTTAAATACCTATGCAGTATTAACTAACCAATCAATTCCATTAAAGAAACGTTCTTATTGCTTCTGCAATCTAATTTGCAGAATTAATCCCTTATTTCAAATGATACTGAAATAAATCAGTGTTCAGATAAACGTTATTATCATAATTACATCATATAATGTCATAATTACCTCAAAGTTACCTTATTTTAAGCCATATATGTATACACACAACCACACAAATCACTGAAATTATTATGTCTCAGTCAGTTTGCTAAAAATACACCCAAAATATAGAATGGATTTTATTTTTCCTCCAACTATTTTGGCTTTTTCACTGGAGTTTAAATTACAAAGTGCCTGTTAGCACAACTGATATTAATCCTACCACGTTAAAAGAAGAGACTCCATAGCAATACTATATGCTAGAAGCTCCATCACAAGATGAGGCAGCAGGGTACAGTTTTGTATTAATGCAAGATATAAGAAACAAAATGAAAAACAGCTCATTGAAACAAGCATACTTTTGACTCTCATTTTTTGTTATATTACTGCCTTTTCTTCTAAGAAGACAGCTTACCTCTAACTCATACTTCACAATATCAAAGGAATCATTGGAAAAATAAACTTCTTCAATGCTGTTAATTATTTCTTGCTGAGCTTGAGGATCAGTTGGTTCTTCATGTAGTTCTCTGAGCTCCTCCTTCACAAAACAAAATAGGATTTCCATGATGTAATATCACATCCTAATAAGAACAATGTTTCACGAAAACAAATATTTTTCAAAAGCCATTTACAATATTAGTAAAAGAAGCAAATGGCAAAGAACAGAAAGATCAGTACACTGTGGCTTGTTCTTCCCACTACAAATAGCAAGATATTTAAAACTTTTAAAAGAACATAATGCAGACTTCAATGTTGCAAATCACTTAAACACTTCTTCATCAACATATTTATGGCACAAATGCATGTTGAGTCCACAGTTTTTTTTCCTCCTGAAGGTTAGAAATTCTCATAATAAACTAAAAATAAATTGGCAGGCTATTTTTCCAGAAGCAAAAAACCCACAAAAACGTAACAAATAAAACCTAAATTTTTTAAACCAGAATAGCATTCTTTGTAAGCGTAAGGTAGACAGTATCACTACAAATGTATAACTTTTCAATTAAGCCCTCACAATTCACTGTAATAAAAGTCATGCCATTAAATACTTAATTTTTTTACAGGAAAAAATAGAACAGATCTGCTTTCTTCGCACAAAATTAACAGATTTCAGATTATGCTCCAACTAGCAGGGTGGTCTAAGCAGAGACACACTGTCAGCTTTCTGAAAGCTAACATTCAAGAGGTAAGCATCCTCCTCCTTGCTGTCACAATCTCTCCTGGAAGGTCTAATCAACAACCCAGCTACTTCCACTGGTTGCAACAAACCAAGGACTGAGCCGGAGCCTCCTCCTCCCATCCTATACTGGACATTTCAACTAATGCTAGCCCTCTCCTGGAGGCTGTTCCCATCGAAGGAATGAAAATCCTCTATCAGAGACTCAAAAGTGAAAAATGCCAGGACATTCTTTCACCAAAACTCAAGATAAAATGGATCAAATTGCTCAGTACCGTCATTTAACCCTGGTGAAGCAATCCAGCAGACTGAAGTGTTCTGTAAAGACCCCAAGCCTCCCAACAACGCCAAGATGTTACAACGGTACAAGGTGCCAGTATTTTTACCACCAAAAGTTCAAGGGCTTATATTTCAGCAGCCAGAGGCATCAGATTTTAGATTAATTGACTAAACAATGACTAACTTGCTTATTTTGTACAGCAATTGAAATAAGATCAACATGTACGTGTTACGAGGCAAAGCAACATTTTAAATACAAAGCAAAGTGCTGGTTGTCGACACAGTTATAGGCAGCCAAGGGGCGACAAGTGAACACTTTGTAAGAGCACCAGAAGGAGACGCTGCTCCTCTAAAATACCTCTCGCAGGAAGAAAAAAGAAAAAAAAAAAAAGAGGAGGGGGAGCAAAACGCAATGGCTCCGATACAGAGAAAAACGATTTCAACCGGATTTCGTGTGTCCGAGCGGCAGGAACCCCTGGGTGACAGGAGAAGGCACAACCGAGGGCACAGGAGAGGGCGGGGGGGGGCACCGCCCCTTCACAGCCCGGGCTG